TACTCTAGAATGCTTGTTCTAATTTTGGTGTTCTTGAATGTTTCATTGTTTTTCCATTTATTTCACTACTGAAAGCTTCATTCTTTTGTTTCCTTGTTATCTCAGTCTTCTAGAATGTATTACTGTTTAGTTGATGTTTTTCATCCTTAAGAAAAGTAAATGTATTTCATTTAAAAGCAGTAATAAAAGGTACACTAGAAGAGTATCCAGAACTTTTCTTCCCTTGCTCTGCAGCCCTCCTGTGCTACAAAGCCAAAACAATATTCTCCAAGTAGGTATACCATTATCTTTTAAAAAAAAGTTTACTTCTTCCTCCTTGGGCTTCTAGAAGCTATATGAATGCTTTCATTCAAATAGGAGAGGCTGGCTAATGTGGGTTAAGTAGAAGGCTGATTAATCTTCTGGCTACCATGAAGACATGTAATGATTAGGTAGGAATAAACTGAAGAGAATTAGACACATTGGTAGCCTATTTGTTGTAAGATTCCAAGGTTACTGGTTTAAGTACAGGGAAGTTAGAAAGCATAACATTAGAATGCACTGAGATTAGTGGGATTTCTCTCCCCCTAACAAACCAACCCAACCAGATAGAGGGAACATGTTGAAACACTGGTAGAAAGCACAAGTATCTTTGAGCTTTCACTAGAGCAGTCTATAAATGTAATTTAGTTGGCCTAAAGCTAGAATTTAGATTTTCTCCCAGCTCTGGTAAGAATTATTGGCCAGATTCCGAAAAACGGCTGAAAGCAGAGTAGGGGTACCAATAGTACCAATTGTTTGGGGAATTTTTAAAGTGTGGGTTGTAATAAATAAGTGAGGTTCTTTCTAACTCTGAAATTCCATGTGTTTTCCTTGCTTCCATCATCTGCACATCTTTTGAAAATTCAAGCTGGTTGGTGAGTTTCCCGTGTGTCCCCTTTCATTTCTAACAGCTTCCCTTTCCCTCTTCATTAGAATTTTTTTCTTGTATCTTCAGAACCTCATTCTTGAGAGCTTCCCAACTATTCCTCCAGTCTTACTTCCCTCATAGAATTTCTATCAATGGATTCCTACATTGCCTTCCTCTGAACCCTTTAAAATCTACTCTTCAAAAACCTATAGTTTACAACGGACTATTACTATCTTCCCTCTTCTCTATCACAAATACTAAAGAATATAATTTTCTTCCAAAGGGGTTTCCACGCCAACAAACCAATTCTCACTTGTTGGTGAGAATTAGATCTAGGATAGAATTAACCTTGCTGCTTCTTCCACTTCTTAAAACACAAAATTATCATTAAGGCAAGTCAAGAAATAATCTCTATTTTTTTTTTCAGAATGTGCTCCAATAGATACTGAGATGTGATTTCAGTTTTTTCAAAAGCAAACAGAATTTCATATGAAGCCAGGGTAGTGAAATGTGTTATTTGGGCTGTTCCCCCTTAAAAATTACCTAAATTTAACTGAAAGCCAATGGTTAAGGGACAATGAAAGGTAATAGTGAATAAGGGAAGACACAGACAAACAAATGCAAATTAAGTTGTCAGAGGTACCCGTGACTAGGACGGGGCTTTTTTTGTGAAGCTAATATGATCTGGCATCATTTGATACAAATCTATTTTTAAACCACACCAATAATTACAAAGAGTTGTATGTTCAAATGTTACGTGGAAGTATATGAAGTGCTAATGCAAAGATATATTGCTCATCCTTAAGAACTTTCAGAGAAAAATCCCTTGATTCGAGCATTAACTACAGATCTGTTCTTGGCCTTCTGTCAGTCAATAGTCATTAAGTCCCTACTATGTGCCAGGCACTTCCTTGCTGACTTCATCTGCTTCGACAACTTCAATGATTACTTATGTGTATGATTCCCAAATTCATAACTCTTTCTCTGACCTCTCTCCTGAGCTTTAGATTTATATGCCTAACCATTCTTCTCGTGGATGTCTCACTGGTATCTCAAACTGTGCTTATCCCATTACCTGACACATATTGAGTGCTTAATAAATGCTTGTGTACTTAAAAATAAACTCTCTCCTGAGACTTATTCCTCTTGTTTGGATCAAGGTTCATCACTGAGGCTACTTCCTAGGGATGTCTTTCCAGGGCTGTCTAGTTAGTGTTCTCTTCTTCAAATTATCTTACATGTTTACTGTTGTATCCCCCAGAAGAATGTAGCTTCCTTAGAAGCAGGGGCCGTTTTTCATTTTGTATTTTACCACCTGGCACATAGTAGGTAAAGGCTTGCTGAACTGAATTACTGATGGAGTGGTGCACCAGAGTGCTCTATTCAGGAATTTTGTACTAAGGGAGACCTAAAAACAAGTAATCAGCATAGGTGTTTTCCTGCTGGGAACCAGGAATTGGAAAATGGTACAATATCCTCAAATTTCCCAAGGTAGTTATGGCCCTGGGTTGTCAACAGTATAGTCTATGTTTCCTACATGGGATGTGCCAAGAGTTGGATTAGGTGCCTAAGATCCTTTTAACAACTGATGTCTATAGTTGGAACCATGAGACCAAGTGTGGATCCAGTATTTACTCTCTCACGTTTCCTCTCAGTGAATCTTATTTCTACAAATTGTACTGTGACTACTGTGGATTTTCTTCTTACACAATGGCCTTAGGACATAGTTCTTCCCTGCTAAGGAACATTTACTATCAATCTTTTATGTTCAGGTGCTCAGCAAATATCAGTTTTAAATACTAAATTAATCCTTCCACAGTACAGGCCTCCATTGCTGTAGCTACTGCTTCCCTTTCACAGCAAGCCTGCTACTGCCATGATTGCTTGCTGGCCATTCAGGGTTTAAAAAAAAGTTCAGTCCCTTCTAGGGCTCGCTATTAGCTGCCCTACACAATGATTCCCTTTTTGGCCTCTTGTCTGAGCAAGCCAATCTTCTCTAACTTTGAATCTTTGTAGCTTGTCTTTTTTTTTTTTGTATCTTGCTAGGCAATGGGGTTAAATGACTTGCCCAGAGTCATATAGCTAGTAAGTGTCAAATGTCTGAGGCCATATTTGAACTCAGATCCTCCTGACTCCAGGGCCAGTTCTCTATCCATTGCGCCACCTAGCTGCCCCTGTAGCTTATCATTTTCAAAATGCTGTTTTGAAATTGTATACTTTTTCCTCCTCTTCCTAATTTGCTGCTTTCTTCATGCTGTTCACTTCTTTCTTACTGGAGAGCACAATATTCAACAGTACCTTTTTACTTCAACTTGGTCCAGGCTGAAGGCCCATCTCCCAGCTAAATCTGCTTGTCACCTTTAAATCACTGGGATCAGCTACATTTTAGACACTTAACCCTAAGTTAATTAGACCATTCCTTCTTACTGCCTAGGACCCTTATATGTTCAAATTATGTCCCTGTGTCTTCTGACACATTTAAAAAAACGTATTTGACTCAAATTACATTAGGGTATAAAGCCTTGTGCTATTCGGAGAGGACAGTCCCAAAATAAACAACCACCCCTTCAAGGAAGCTGTCTTTCTTCACATGGTCTACAATTTGGATCTTAGTGATAACATCTATATAATGTTTCTCTAAAAGATTTGTTCTAACATGACAAACAGGATTCCCACTGAACCAGGAATAAGCTTAAAGTCAATAGTAGATTTAGAATTATTCCTAAATACTAACAGCAAACTACAGAGGACAAAGCATAGGACTGGAAGTCAAGAAACCTGGATTTAAGTTCTTATTCTGTGACTGACTAGCTGAGTGATACTGGATAGACAACCTTTCAGGACCTCAGTTTCCTCATATGTAAAAGGGGCTGGGCTAGGAGATTTTTTGAAGGGTTCCTCTGTCTCAAAAATCCTATCGCCACTTTCTAGAATGTTGATTTAAATCAATGCTAGTTTGGGGAACTGTAGCAACTGTGTACAAATTCATTTTTTTCCTCACTCTCCCCATCAAAACAAAAGTAAAGATGTATGTGTGTTAGAAAAAACCAGAAATATCCCAGGACCAATGTTGTATGAAAACCGCATCAGAGTATTTCAGTAGTTCTAGGAGAGATAGAAGCAAGGTTAGAATAGCTCTTACAATTTAATTTAGGACCCACTGGAAAAATACTATACTGTTAATAGTCACCCAGCTCTCTTTCTCTTTGTGTATATATGTGTGTGTGTGTGTGTGTGTGTGTGTGTGTGTGTGTGTGTACACATATATATACACACACACATACATATAGATAAATATGTATGTATGTATACCACCACTTCAATAAATATAATTCTCACCATGCATGCTCATTCATTCCCCAGTTATGTCTTTTAGGGCACCTAGGTGGTGAAGTAGATAAAACTGTGGGCCTGGAGTGAGGAAGACCTGGATTCAAATCCAGCCATAGATACTTCCTTGCTGTTTGACCTTGGACAAGTCATTTAAACTGTTTGCTTCAGTTTTCTCAACTTTCTAAAATGAGGATAATAATAGCACCTATCTCCCAACAGATGCTTAATAAGTCCTCCCTCCCTTCCTTCCCAAGGACACACAAATATCTTGCCAGATAACTCAAAAGTGCTTGTAGACAGACAGGTTAACTGCTGTATGGTTCAAAGGAGAGTGAAGAAAGTGGGTGAATGAAATGGGCTGCTAGGTGGATGGAGTAAGTCTGGCTAAGTAAAAAGAGTGTGTAGGGAAGGAAAAAAATATGGATGCAGAGAATTAGTGGTCAGTTTGGTGAAAGAAGCAACCACATAATGCCAATTTAGTGAGGATTTTTTTTTTGCTAGAAAATTAGTAAATACTTACATATTAATAATTGATTTCAGAAGACAACAGATGACATATTCACACAATTATCAAGGCCAAAATAACTTTCAAGGACCAAAATATATTCAAGAATCCAATCCTAATTCAGCATGATGAGTGATGAGGTAAGAGGGATGATTCTTGGGCTAATAGCCATCAATTCAGGGAAGCTGCATTACTATTGAGAGTATAAAAATAACAAGCACGTGTACTTCTTTCTCATCTGAGTCACTGATTGGTCCAAAGACTGGTCCAACACTATTTCTTTGCAGCTGATCTTTTCCCTTCTCCTTTCTTTGGTTTGCCTTTTCCACGAAGCTTCTTTAGCCGCCTTTGCTCTTCCTTAAAATCTTGATGTTCATCTCTGAGTCGAGAAAAAGAGAATGACTAATCAGCTAAATGTAACTGAAAATGGTAAAGCACATTCAAAAAGTAATGTTCTCTTTGGTGATTCCTGTAGGGTTCAAATAAGTGAACACATGTAATATGATCTGCAAACCTTAAAGTGACGTATAAATCTGATGATCATGGTTATCAATATTTGACATTTTCAAGGGAACAGGCCCAACTAGGTTTATGGAAAACACAAAGCAGTCCCCAACTTATGAATAGGTTACATTTTAAAAGTTCCTTTGTAAGTGGGCTGTTTGAAATTCAGAGTGCCTGTTCCCATAGAAACAGTGATGTAAACTGTGGCTAAGCTTTGAGGCTAGTTTATGAGTCTATTTTAATGATATACCTGAAGTCCATAACAGTAGCTCTGGACAGCAAATCCCCCTTGACCCCTGAAATCCTGTGTAAGGCCAAAAGTCAATTAAGGAAATGAAGGCAGAATCTAGAGGCTCTCTAGAAGCTGGGAATTTTCTGAAAGGAAAATCAAATAGCAAGAAAATAGGGAAGAAAATGTACAGGGGCTCCCACAGCTACCACAGCAACTTTGGTGGAGGGAACCATCAGGAAATGGCTCAGGCGAAAGAGTATATTGTTTTTGTATCTCAATGACATATCAAACTAAAAAAAGCTAAGGTAAGAGTTCTAAACCACGAGAGTTCCAGGCTACAAAGGAGGACATGGGCAGGAAAGGGTGTCAGTGGTGGGAAGGAACTCTAGTGCCGAAGGTATCAGGTTCCAAGGCTTGTTCGTCAGTGTAGATCACTTGTTAATTGAGTGTGTGTAAAGTGGAAGTCTGCCTGTATTTTAGCTAAAAAAACAAGGGTCCAAGAAATGTTGTTAGGATATGTATTAAAGCAGAACTAAAACTCTTTTGCAAATGATAATAATCTATATTTATTATACTTTCTAGGAATAGTATTCATATTTAATCCTAACAAAAAAAGTCAGCCTCAAAACTTGTTTATTTTAACCATTTTTTTATTTTAATCTTATATGCTTTCCTAACTTATAAAGCAGAGGGTACCAAACATAATTTAACCCTTTCTTAATGACAGTCATCATTATGAACATAAAGTATTGTAATGTACTATTATATAGTGATGCTGGGAATAAGGTCCAACTCCCCCCTACTAAAAGGTACCAGATGATATTTTTAGAATTGTCTACTTTTTATAGTTTTTCTGTTTCTCTTCTTGCTATCAGGCTCCTAGCAGTTGGATCTCACTCTTGTTAATATGTTTAACTACAGCAGCTTCTCTCCTCCCTTCTAATTTGCTGATTCTAATCTGTTGTGAGCTTAGAAATAAAATAACCACATTTTAAGGACTGTATGTAAAATAAGAGTCCACAGATGTAGGCAAGGGTCTAAGGCTTTTTCTTATGAAGTACATGCATTTTAATATATGGACTTTATGATATATTCATCTATCCTGGCCACTCTGAAGCCTTTCCCTCCCTCACTTCCTCCTTTTCTGTTGTATTCCACATATGTAAATTATTATGTCATTCACTATATACTTCTAAGATTTTCTGACATCTAACTTCATCGAGAGTTTTAAAATTAAAATATTATTAGTAACTAATATTTGTGTCAACACAACCAAAAGGCAAAGGCACATACTAAAAAATAAAATATAAATTAGAATCCTTCTGTCTAGAAGAGTGCTATGTTAGGCTATCATGAAGATAAGAGTTTATCCTCTAAGCAAGTTAAATTGCAAAAACCTTCAGCACTTCATCCTATTGTAGACCTGAAAAAAAAAAAGTTTCCCAACATTTTTCTGCAGCCCACTTCAGTATTCTTAAAAGGGTATGCTAGAGAGAAGGTTACTTCCTTTCCTGTTTCCTAGGTAGCAGCTCTCAAAACAAGCTGCCTGCTGAGGTGGAATAATTGAACATTGTTGTTTCTCTCTACCTCATCTACTTTCTTATGGTATAGATATCCACCTCCAATCTTGATCTAAAGGCACTCATTTTAATTTTTACTTTGAAGGCTATAACAAAAACTCCCTCTAGCATCCATATGGGTTAAAACGGACTGGCTCTGCATATTTTAAAATCAGGTTTATCTACTGAAAAGAACCTTACAGCTTCTTCTTTAAATCTCATTGGCTTTGGTTTGTCAATATCCTAAATAACTGGGTTCACTTATTTTTTACAACTTGCATGAGATTACATCATAATTTCAAATTAAACATAAGAGAATGATTTAGCTTCTCTGTATAGTTACTAGATTTTAAACACATTTCTCCTCCCAGTGGACAAGATATAAACGAATGCAAGTTATCCAAAGTAACGGTGGGACACAGTGGCACAGATAATCAAAAAATTTGTGACTTTTCATTTATATTATGATTGTTTTTTCAGCAGATCTGCCTTTTAATTTTGTTAAAACTATGATTAAAATAAATTTGCAGTCACTAGGCAAAAACCAACTGTCAACAAAGAGAGACATACCCAAAGTCTAATGAGTGGTTTGCCTCAGGTTAAAAATATTCTGTGGAAAAGCAACATGAAAATAATAGATATAACAATAACATATAATACTGCATGAGGGAACAAAGTTATTTTATACTAATATGTTAGTGTTTAGCTATCCTAAGAGGCAAATATATTCTCTTATTAATTCTAATGCATTAGCAAAAATAGCATGTCAATTTAAAAAATGCTAACATAAGAGTTCTAAAATTAAAGATAACTGATCCTACCTTTCCTCTAGAGTGCCTGAGCCCCATTTTCCTTTTCCAATAGGTTCTCTCTCTCTCTTTCTCTCCAATGAACAAACAGGTATAAGATTCCATTACATTTAAATGTAAACATAACCCTTAAAGGCAGCTTGCAGCTTAATTAGAACAAAATAATTCATTAAAAATGGTACAAAGATAATTAAACTGTCTAAACAGGGTGAGTAGAAATTATAGTGCCAGGGAAAGCACTACTATAAGAATGAAAGAGGTTCCCACACCTAATAGGCAGATCAGAGGCTGGGGCAAGAAGTCATTATTGAGTTGAAGCTGTTGTCCTGCTATAGCATCATTGAATACATTAACATTTCTGCTATTTCTTTGCATGGTATTTGTACCTGTTTTTTCCAGCATCATTCAGGACTCATTAATAGTGTGGATGTCTAACTATAAGTATCTACTGCACAATTTTAGCCAGTTTTCAGGCACCTGAATATTCAAATATGTCTTCCAACAAGCACACATACACACCAAACTGGTTTGATTTTCAAAGTTTGCAAGCCATATATGTTTTGAAGAAGTCTTTCACTTTCTTTCAATTTTATCTTTAAAAGCATGTAAACACAAAGATAAGTGCCCTAAAGGATAGAAAGATTTTTAGGCATCTTGCATATATTCTCATCTATCAGAAATTCTCTCACCATCTCTAGTTTCTGTTTCTTCATTACCTGTAAAGACCAAAGAAACGGAGTTTCCTCATGAGAGCAAAATAGGTGTTGTGAGGGGGATACCAGTCATAAGTCTCCTTCCTTTTAGCCAAAGGCTGCTCACTAAACAACTTCACTACTTTCATGGACTTGGAATCGGTGGGGCTAGCAACTTCTCCAAATATTCGAGCACTCAGGCGAGCCATTCGCGTGGCATATTCTGAAAGGGATGACATCTTGAGAGAGAGAGAGCCAGTAAAGACAATTCCTACACAAATGGAAAAAGAATGATAAACATGTTAGTATGAAATACTCTAGGACTGTCCAATAAACATTTAGGAAGAAAAAGATGAGTCATGGTGAATCATGCAAATTGGCAGAGATTTTATTGTGCTAGGAATTGAGAAACATTTGTGATCCAATACAACTGATTCCTTTGCACAATACTTTGTATTTATGGTTTATGTTTTCTGTACATGGGACTGATATAATTAAAATGTTATCTGTTACTGCCTTGCCGTACTTTTTTTTTTTGGGGGGGGCCAATTAACTAGGTTGTGCTTAAATAAGCATTTAGTACATTCAAATTATCTTTTTTTTTTTTTAAAGTAAGCTTGCTTGGTAAGGAGAATGGGGAAACAGATTACCAGGGTCACAATTAACACTAATGTATCTTCAGAAAACACCAACGTAAGCAATCTGCAAAATAAATATGCTGACTGACATCTAAAGGTTCAATCTTCACAGAAAAATAATTATACTGTAGTCTTTATTATCAGTCCTTTGAACACTGTTCTTCCCAGAGGATTACAAAAGGCTCTGAAAAGTGCTAATGAATTATGAGGTTATTCAGCCTCTAGGTTACAAAACTGAATTCGGCCTGAGTTATTTGGGGTTGAAATTAATCTGAGGAAGGGGTTGGTGGATACACGGGTTAGGGTGGTAGTGGTCCTGCAGCTTTTTAGTCAACTCGCTCTAAAAGAATCATGAAAAAAAAAACCCTCCTTAAATAAAAGATTTCCCAAACGATGACTATTCATTCTCTGAATTCTGATTTGATTCATTTCCACTCTATATTTTGCTTTTGTCCTATAATAACCTTCACTATTCTAAAATAGGGCAGCTAGGTGGTGCAGTAGATAAGAGTGCTGGGCCTGGAGTCAGGAAGACCTGAGTTCAAATCTGTCCTCAGACACTTACTAGAGGTCTGTCCCTGGGCAAGTCATTTAACCCTGTTTGCCTGAGCTGCTCATGTATAAAATGAGCAGGAGAAGGAAATGGCAAACCACTCCATCTTTGCCAAGAAAACCCCAAATGGGGTCATGAAGAGTTGCAAACGACTGAATAAGCACAATACTAAAACGGTAACACTTTACATGTTAACATCTCCAAAGACCTCTGTATTTCAGAAAGAAAATAATTCTTTTAACATTTTGATGAAGTAGCTAAAAAACCCAAATACTAAATTACATTACGACATACAGCAGGACAGACACCAGATAGATGCAAGTTACCTGCCACTAGAACTGACATTCTACAACAGATCAAAAACTGGCAAAAGGAGTTAGATATTCTTGGCATAAGTATAGCTAGATGATGTGAAATTTTAGTAGGAAACTGAGAAATATCTGCAATATGTTAATTCGCCTGCCACAGTGTTGATAATATGGAATACTTTGAGCCAGTGTTTCACTACACTGGCTTGGAGATGGTCCTCTGCCCAACTAGGGATGGACTGTCCTCAAAACAGGAAAAATGAAAGAACAACAACAAAACCGACCCAGAACCGAAAGGAAAACACCCAGCCCCTGAAAACCAAAGAGGAAAGAAAAAAAGTTACTACAGCAACAAAAAAATCTCCCCAGGCTGTTACCTGTACATTAAGTGCCAGAAAACTTCAAAATCATTTCAGAACGACGGAAAGCAGGATTTAAACTAGGGGAATCTTGTACAACCCATCTGAGGCTCACTAATAGTATAAGCCCTCTCTGAGTCAAATACAAGACTTTAGAAAGGTCTGTACGTATCTCAAAGCTGACTAAATTCGCTGCCTCTGATCCCTCCTTATCCCCTACACTTCAGAGTTCAGGCTTCTCTGAAACTATACTGATTTAACAGAGCCATCTCATGGTCAGTACGGGAAACTTGCCTCCCATTAAATCTTATCTCTTTCCTTCCTAGTTCAGAGGGATCACATATAGCTATTTCTCTATTTTCCTTTTGCACCACTCACAGCTAATTTAATTGTATCTTATATAATCTTTCTTATATGTACACACAACCTACTCCATTTTTTCCATTCTCTGCTCTTACAACTCTGGTCCTCCTAGGGGAAATCTTTCTACTTCTCTGTTCCGTTTACGAGCCAAAAAGCAACCAATTAAGTATAAAAGCAATGCTTGTGATTGCCTTTAGCAAAGAAAAGTTTTATCTTTTTTTTTTTGGCGAGGCAATTGGGGTTAAGTGACTTGTCCAGGGTCACACAGCTAGTAAGTGTCAAAAAAGTCATAATTTTAATGACCATAAGAAGCCAGTGTCATCAACCTTTAAAGCTCTTGAAAGTGCCTAGAATCTCCCCACATTTCCTTCTACCTTTGCAACTGTCTCCTCTAATGTGCAGAATCGTAGATTTAGGGGCAGAAAGGACAACAGAAGCGACACGGTCCAATCTCTTCATTCTTTACAGATGATAAAGCTGAGACTCAGGGGTGTTAGGTGATTTGTCCAAGGACACACAGATATTATTAAACGGCAGTCAGAACTCAAAAGCAAGTTATCTGCCTCCAAATCCAGCATTATTTTCATTGTACCAATTAAAACTTTTTTCTGCAAGCACTAGCATTAAAGATAAATTACACTCCCCCGAAATCCAATATGTTGTTCAATTTATTATTAGTGTTTTGTGTAATGCCTTTATAATAATGCAATAGTTTTCTAATTTTTTCTTTATGAATGTATAGTATTTTAGTATATTATGTGTTTAAATGGGCTAGTCAACGTTTCTAACAAACCTTCCCTGAAAAAAATGCATTTGAGTTAGAAACTACTGACCTGAATAAAATTTAAGACTCTATCACAAGCTGGGAGAATGGTTCTGTACTTCACATGTTTTTGTTCCATTTCCTCCCCCATGGCAGATATCCAATCATCTCTTTGCACAGATTCATATGCCCCAAAGATACATACCTTCTTCCCTACTACAGTGCCTGGAACATAAGATGAACCTTGTAAATCAATCTTTTTTTACATACCTGTAAGTCACTGTTCTTCTCCCTAAGATACTACTCCTCATGTCCAAAATAAGTACATAGATATTAACATTATATACCCAGAAAATAATAAAAAAGTATTTGAGAGGGTTTAATTCCATAACTATTTAATGGTTGCTAAGTGCAAAGAACAAACTCTATACATATAAGGGGCTTACGCAATACTGGGGAAGCGGAATATGGGCCTTGAGTTTCCACATCCATAAAATGAGGGGGTTAGTCTGAATGACCTCTGATGTATCTTTTAGCTCTAGATATGTAACCTCATATATACCAGATGGGTACGTTATACCTTATAAAGGTAATTTGAAGAGGGAGGAGAGGAGTACCATACAGAGAGCTAAGGTGGAGGTGATAAGTGAATTAAACCCTAAAGGAAGACAAGGATTCTTAAAGCAGAAGATGAAAGGGCTGGGCCTCCTGCAAAGGATCACTCAAAGTCCAAGTGTTCAAACAAGCTATTTAATAAAAATATATTCAAATACCTTCAGGTAAACACATTCCAGGAAGATAACGGTAGGGCAGGCAGGATCCCAGGGGTCTCAGGGGCTCCCCACTAAAGTCCTAAAAATCACTTTATAGTCTTCTTGCCTAAACAGCCTGTGTTCTAGGTCAATCAATAAAGTTAACTCAAACTGCCCTAGGTGAGGGTGATTCTTCTTTTTTTTTAGTGGGGCGATTGGGGTTAAGTGACTTGCCCAGGGTCACACAGCTAGTTAAGTGTTAATGTCTGAGGCTGGATTTGAACTCAGGTCCTCCTGAGTCCAGGGCCAGAGCTCTATCCACTATGACACCTAGCTGCCCCCATGGGGCCTTTCTTGATTTCCCCCCAGCTACTAGAGACTCTCCCTCCATCCCCACCCCCACAAATTACCTTGTATTTATTTGGTAAATGTTTTATAACTATGTATATGTATATATGTTGTTTCTTTCATCAAATATAAGTAAGCTCCTTAAGGCCAGGGGCTATTCCATTTTTGTCTCTATCCTTCTAGAACCTAGCACTGATGGATTGAGTCAATGAAAAGGGAATTGAAGATAAGGGGAAGGAGGGGAAAGCAGCAGAGTGAAGGGACTGTGGCTCATTGGCTAAAGTACACAATTGCCTTTGTTTAAACTTTGCACCTAGTATATGATGATTACAGTGCCTAATTAAAGAGATTCTTATTTTATACTTCTGAACAAAAACGTGGATTTTGGAAAGCTATTAAGAAAATATTTTTAAAGTATTCAAAAATACATGGTGCTAGGTCTCTGTATCAAGCAAGACAAACACTATTTGAAGATGATATTCTCTAAAGAAAACAAAGTTATTATTCTATTTTTTGTTAAGCTTAAGAAAGTCCAGTATCTTTGACTTTACTTCATATTCAATCTATTGTACTGAGGCAATTAACATAATTTACAAGCCATGCTCCAAGTGACAGAGATAAGAAGTATATTCTGGCATAGATACATAATCTGAAGAGAATTTTTTCTTTTATAACTGATAATGATTAACCAATTTTACTGAGTAATAGAAAAACTAAGGACAGTTAATATATGAGATTCCCATTCCATGCTTTGTTTCTTTATTTTAAAATAGGGACAACCCTAAAAACACTTGCTCTCAAATTATCCCTTTTGGGGAGCAGCAGTATGAACAACCCCTAAATCATAGCCCAATTTATTCTCCTTGCCTCCATATTCTTCCCTCTACAACCCGTCCTTCACATAACTGCCACACTGATGTCAGCATGTCCTTATCAGAAATCTTCAAGAGCTTTCTATTACTTCTTAGATAATACACAAAATCCTTAGCTTGGCACTGAAATCTCTCCACAATCTGACTCTCACTTACCTTTCTAGATTCATTTCACATTACTCTCCCGCAAACACTGTCAATCAAAATGGCCCCACAGCTGTTAGTTGTTAGTCTGACTTTGCTTAAGTGGCCTCCTCATGTCTGTAATCAGTTCTTCTCCCCTCCACCTCGTAGAATCTCTAACTTTTTTCAAAGCACAACTTAGTTATCTCCTCCTACCCAAGGCTTTTCCTAATCTCTTTCTCCTCCTTCTCCCTTCCCCAGTTATTAATGCTTTCCTTCCTGAAGTCACTTTATATTACACACTTGTAATTGTACCAATTATATACATGTTGCTCCCTACCAGTAGAATGTAAATTATGTGGGGGCTGGTACATTTTTTGCCTTTGTATCCCCAAAGCCTAGCACAGTGCCTTGTACATAGGTGGTGCTCAGCAAATAGCTGTGGTGTTGAATTATATTTTATTTTGTATTGTTTTATATGACAGCTTAGTATGGTGGATAGAAAGCTACTCTTAGAGTCAGGATGAACTGGGTTCAGTTCTGGCCTCTCATACCTGAGCAAGTGGTCCAAGCACTAAGACAGTTTGGAGAAAAGATGCCCACCTCCTTCACAGAAGATCCTCAATGGGAGGGACACATGGACAGGGACGGACGGACGGACACACACACGGACACGGACACACACACACACACACACACACACACACACACACACACACGTCGAGTCCTTTTGCCTTTTACATATATATGGATATATGCGCTTTCTTAAGATTTAATTTCCTAATTATGTTTCTCTTCCATTACCCAACTGATCATGTTCAGAATGACAACAATAATAGCTAACATTTATATAATGCTAACAACAATAATAGCCTGGCACTCTCATTTGATCTCTACAACAACCCTAGGAAATGGGTGCTATTATTATCTCCACTTTGCAGTTGAGGAAACTGAGGCAAACAGAAGTTAAGTAACTTGCTCAGGGTCATGCACCGGATTTAAACTCCAGTCTTCCAGACTCCAGGCTAACAAGCAAACTGATTGGGTAGGAAGCAGGAACAGACAGCCTGGGATTTTCAACTGCTATTCCCCCTGGCCTGTCTGGTTTTTGTCTTTGAATCTCCAGGGCTTCAGCAACGAACCTGGCACACAGAAGGCGTTTTATTGCGTGGCTTTTGAGTTTCCTAAGTGTTAGACTGCTATCCTAATGCGGGACGTCAGGCCTTTTGCTCTTAACAACCCTGGGAGCGTGGGAGTCAGTTATTACCATTTTACACCCAAGGAAACAGGTTCAGAGCTTTCGGCCCCGGGATTAGAACCCAGCTCCCGCCCCGGCGCTCTTTTCACTGGCCCACGCTGCTTCCCACGGACACGGGGCCTTGTCTGTGGGCCCCTGCTCAGCCCCGGGGCCGGCTTGTTGCAGCCGGTTCTGGTTTTAATCTGGGCGCATTTAGGGCGTGTGACATGAAGGACCTTCTCTCCCTGACTCTACACTTGGGCTCGAAGCTGGGCCTCAGTTTATAACCTTCCCCGATCCCACGAGACCCCCGATTTCACCAGTACCCCACTAACCCCGACACACCAGAAGAAATCACTAACCAATTTAACAGGTCCGGGCCTTCCTCACATATACGTAACGTCCTCCGGAAATCAGGCTCCCTCATCTCCCCCCACCAGTGCCTAGGGCGACGCGTCCAGCCTCGAGGGCGAGAGCGAGAGCAAGTCAGGCTTCGCTTGCGCATGCGCGGGAGAAGAGGAGTGGAAAAGCGGAAGACAGAAGCTGGCGAGCTAGAAGGGACGCTGGCAAAAAGCCCGGATAGCCGTCCTGCGACGCCTAGAGGTCTCGGAGGGCTGGACTCAGCGCCTGCGATAAAACTGGACCAGAGTCTGAGCTCCCGGATCTCCAAAGCTTGGGTTGCACAGCCTAGGGTGCGGTTACGCCGGGGCTGGGGGCTGTTTCCACAGCCCTTTGTGAAGAGTCGAAGTAGTGGCCCTTTTCTGGGTCGCAGTAGCACTCTCCCCCCTTTCCTTATTTCTGTCTTCAGCAGCTGCATTTCCATCAGCATCAGCATCATCAATGAGAATAGTAAACGTAGCGCTTTGATATTTCCAAAGCGCTTTGCGCTCATTTGACTCTCACAACAGCCCTGTGAAGCAGGCACCTTTGGTAGATCTCACATTCCGAGGTTATTAATCTCCTTTAACACTTTCGGAAACTGAGGCACGGAGAAGTCAAGTGACTGGCTCCTAAGGTCTCCTCAGAGTTCCCCCATCTCCGCTCCGCCCCCTGCCCTGCCCCCCTGCTCCAGAGGTTGTTGATTCAGCTCCTGGTAACGCCTCCTCTCCTTTCTCAATCCCCCGGCCCAGCCAAGCTCCCTCGGGCACTCTCCAGCATCATCATCGCCCTCGTCATCACCGCCGTCCAAAGTGCTTATTAAACGCTTCCTTACGTTGCAGTGAGTTTCGGTTCCTCTCCCTCCCCCCGCTTTTCGGGCCCCAGCAACATCCATCCTCAGTCACCGGCTGGGGACAGCGTGGGAACCAATGAAATCGGTGCCTGGGAGGTTCCAGCACCAACGGGAAGGGCGGATGGCCGAGAGAAGCAAATGAGCACGGGAGAGAAGCGTGACAGCGATGAACAGCTTGTGGTCCCTGGCTGCAGACCCCGCTCAGACCTTCACCTCCTCTTGTCCGTCAGGAATAGTGCGAAGGGGAGTGGATTTGGAATCTGAGGGCTTGGGGCTTGAGCTTTTCTAATGACTATTTGGGTGACCTTGGGAAAGCCACAACCTCTCTGGGCCTCAGTTTTTTCTCTATAAAATAGAGAGGTTCGCACCTTTTGAAGGGGCTGATAGCGAAAGTTGTTTTGCTTGATTGTACTTATTTCTTACAAGGGTTTTGTTTTTCTTTTCTTTTTTTATGGAGAGGAGAGAAAACAGATTTTTGTTCATAAAAAAAATTAAGTATTAGGGTTACTGTCAGGGTTGGGGAATCTGTGGTCTGGAAGCCACCTATAGCCTTCTAGGTCCTCAAGTTCAGCCCTTTGACTGAATCCAAACTTCACAGATTAACACAAAATAATCCTTTTATTAAGAGGATTTTTTCTGTGGTTTGGATTCAAAGGGCTGAACTTGAGGACCTAGAGGGTCACAGGTGGCCTCCAGGCCAAAGGCTCTGAATCCTCTCCTACTTTTCTTTACCTATTTTTTTTCTCAGAGTCTCCTTCCTTCCATCTATTCATCCTCTTTCCTATTTTGTGATTGTTTTGTTTCAGTGAGCATGACCTGGCACCAGTATTATCTAATACACATTTTTCTGTATGTATAATACTTTCTGTAGCTTACCATAATATTCAGAGAACCTGATAGGCATGATGTTACTCAGATGAGGAAACTGAGTTTGAGGGAGGTTGAACTACTTGTTTGTAAATCACAATGTTACTGGCAGAGCTAGAACTGATAATAATAGCTAGCATGTATATATTTCTTAACCTAAGAAAATTGGGACATTGGCAGGTTAAGTCACTTGCCCTTGGGACACAACTATAATCTGCATAAGGTCCACCACTATATCACCTAAGCTGCCTTGTGATAGGATTGTAATGTTCATTTCTTGTTTAGTCCTTGAGCGACACTCTGGGCTGACAATGTTAACTGCTTCCTCAAAGTTTTAGAGCACTTTGCCCAGGTGTCTCCTCTGACAGTTTAAAATACCTTTATGGCTACTTGGATACTTTTTTGAAATGCTAATGATAGCTATGCCTAACAATGATAAATCACATTTATGTTTAGTTGCTCCCATCTTCTTCTTCATTGAATGGATCCTTTTTATGTCTTCACAATTTCATGAACTTTTCTTTTAGAATTTTAAATCATGAGATCATACCAATGAATACCTTTGGAATTCTGCCACTGCCGGTACTATACAAATTTGAATCCATACTAATCTTTTGTCAGCCTTTTAGTTCAAAAGCGTGGTTGCCAAACGAGCAAGGTTTAAGTGAGTTTTCTACATTAGAGGGTTGAAATAAGAGAAATATTGATCAAAATATATAGTGCTTTACAATTTTAAGTGTTTTACAGATTTTAAAAGATAACTAATAGAAAATAAATGTTACAACATTATAGAGAACTAGTTTGACTCCAAAGAGATACTTGAGAAGACACTTAACCCCAAGACCTTTGCAGAGATTAGTGTGGGATGGATTTGGGAAGGGTCTACAAGTTGGGAACATTGTATATAATATCAGATTTTTTTTTCAATTGATTGAGAGAAATGATTGTTTCTCTTATATTAATAACCAATTACTATGGGAGAGATTCAGGATTTTTTTCCCTGCCTATTTCCTCATTCTCTTCTAGGTTAAATCAACCCCTGAAGAATAGGGCTGATAATGAGATTGGATTTAACATTCTCCTCAATCTTGTTCAGACCCCACCTAATTGGAGAAGCTAGTGGTGTTTTACTCAGGCTTGAGTGGGGGAGTAGATCCTTTGTCTAGATTGCCTGGGGCTAGGGGAGATCTGGGAGTAAGAGTGACACAATCAAAGTCATGTCTTCCTCCTCCCCTCAGCCCCTTATTAAAATTGGGCCACCTCTTATTATAATATTCATTTTTCTCATTAATTGTTAACCAATTAGAGTTGATTGCCGTCTGTCAGGAACACCCATTCTACCAAGGGCATATAAGCATCAGTAGGCTGCCATGATACCTCTTTGGTTTACAAGAGACAGCCAAATGGCCATCCTTTTAACATTGCCACCACCTTGGTGTAGGCCTTCATCACCTCATTCCTGGACTATCAAAATATCTATCTGGTTGGTCCCCTTGCCTCGGGTCTCTCCTCACTCCACTCAGCTGTCAAATTGATCTTCTAAAGCAGAAGTCTGTTCATGTCACCCTCCTATGACTTCTAAGACCACATATAAAATCCTCTGTTTGGCTTTTAAAAACTTGCATAATAGACCTCACCTTTCCAGCCTCCTAATACTTTATCACCTTCATGTACTCTACCACCTAGTGACTGACACTGGCCTTCTTGCTGTTTCTTGAACAAGACACTCTTGTTTCTTGACTGGGAATTTTCACTGGCTGTCTGCCATATCAACAATGCTCTCCCTCCTTCCCTCTTTAGATTGTAAATTCCTTGAGGGCAGGGATTGTTTTTGTTTTTGTATCCCAGGCACTTAACACAGTTCCTGGCACATTTGTTGTTGTTAAATAATTTTCAGTTGTGCCAGATTCTTTGTGACTCCCATTTGATGTTTTCTTGACAGAGATAATGGAGTGAAGTAAACAGCATTAAGTGACTTGCCCAGGGTCACACAGCTAGTAAGTGTATGAGGCCAGATCTGAACTCGGGAAGATAAGTTTTCCTGAACCCAGGCCTGGGACTCTTATCCACTATGACACTAGCTGCCTGGCACATAGAGGGTACTTAATAAATGTTTATTGAATGGAATTGAATTTCCACCTCCTGGCTTCCCTGGCTTCTTCCAAGTCTCAGCTAAAATCTCTCTTTCAGCAAGAAGCATTTCCCTGTCCTCCTTAACTTAAGTGCCTTCCCTTTGAGATTATCTCGAATTTATCATATATATATATTGTTTATACATAGTTGCTTGCATGTTTTCTCCATCATTAATGAGCTCGATGAGGGCAGGGTCTGTCTTGCCTTATTTTGTATTTCAATTGCTTAGCTCAGTGCCTAGCTCATAGTTGCTGCTTAATAAATGCTTGTTGACCTGACTTTACTCACTATTTGTGGGACCTAATGTAAATCACTTAGTAGTTTGTGGGACTTACCTTATCTGTAAGGTGAGGGGGTTGGACAAATAGCATTTGAGGTCCCTTTCAGCTCTAGATCTGTGCTCCTATGTAACAAGGAATGTGTCAAGTGACCCTAGCTGCTCTGAGCTCAGATTCAAGATATTCTCCTTTGTTTCCAGTGACCTGTGAACTTTTTCCTTTTAGATCCACCTTTAATAAATCATTTAATTTAATTTAATATTATAATACAAGCTTAATTTGTTTATGAAAACATGATAATTTCAAACATCAGATGTTGGTAGCAAAAATATATATCACATAGATCCTTAAAAATTGCATCAGGTACCATCACCTCACCAGGTCAAAGTTCTTCTCCCTTTCCACTTAGGGTGGGGTCCAGTCTCATTGCTCATTGGACTCCCAATGAGCTGATAGAGAGGACATCAGAAGGCTTGTTGCCTTCATTAGACTTGTTTTCCTTACAGCAGGAGAGGGAAGACAACCTAGTCACTCATGGATGGGGCTTTTGTATATCATAGGTACTAGATGAACAATACCTCAGTCTGTCCTTTCTGCTTCTTCCTCCTTGGTTCTGGAAATTACAGCTTTTGCTGGAAGGGTCCTAATTTGAGTTTTCCACCAAAGGACAAAGTGTTATGGCTGAAGCTTTCTGGCATAGAGAGATGAGTATTTTTGAGGGTTGTGAAGAGTCCAAGAGAAGGAGAAGAATAGCATCCTTAATGTTGACAAAACAAGACCAAAGTGTGCTGATTGGTTGATTTGAGTTTGGTTTGTTCAGTCGTGTCTGACTCTTCATGACCCCATTTGGGGTTTTCTTGGCAAAGATATTGGACTGGTTTGCCATTTTCTTTTCCAGCTCATTTTACAGATGAGGAAACTGAGGCAAACAGGGTTAAGTGACTTGGCCAGGGTCACAAAGCT